TTAATACATTTATTAGGGGTTGTGTGATTAGTGATGAGGAAGGTTAAGCTTTATAGGGTGTTTTTGTTTAGGGAGGTTGTGTTGGTTATGCTTTATAGGGGGAGTATGGGGGGGGGGGGGGAGGGAGGGGATTATGTCACTTCATTATCAGCATAACTTTTTGTGCTTGTACCCACAGCATTATAAATTGTATGTATATATATATTATATATATATATATATATATAAATATATATATAAAGATGTAACCAGTGGATATAAGTAAAATGTCGATAACATGAGAAATCTAGTCAACATTGACAAAGAAAGAACTGAAGGAAGAGAACAAAAAATGCTCCAAAAATATGAAATACTAAACATAATTGACTTGTCAAAGGAAAACAAGCAATGCCTCACGAACTGTAACATTAAACAATATGCTACATACCAACTTCGATGCATCTTCAAGATTCAGGATTCACCTCAAAAATTATGAACCAGGTCATTAAACAAATATATACTGTACAGTTCAAGGTCGCCTTAAAAGACAAACAGGATATGGCCATGATGAAAACTTTATAAAGTTTTTTGACAGTACGGTATATCTCTCACATTAATGCCCTCGCCTCAGAACTGACAGGAATCCACCAGAAGACTTATCCTTACGATGCTCCTCCGACTCATCTCCTACCTATTTCAATAGTTACGGTAATGATCGATATGTGTACAGCAAACAAAGGAGAGCAATGATAGTGGAATTGGAGATTATATACATATACCTCTTTAGCAATAAGTCGGAGAATTTGTAAGATCTCTGAGAAATCTGGCCTTTCAGCAGGGTCTTGCTGCCAGCACTTTTCAAGCAGCTCAGCAAGCTTAGGATGAGTATGCTTCGGAATTGTAGGTCTTAGACCCTGAACAGATCAAAGCAGATTAGACTTTGAAGTTTTTCCAATACACCCTTTGACATCGTTACCGTTAATGGTGAAATGACCACAATGCCCTTCCCGCAATATACCCTCCAAAAATGAAAAGGGGTAATTTTTAATAAACTGACTGGAAGTTTTGTCCTATATGTTGTGACATGCCTGGAACGTGACCTGTCAAAGTTCACGGAGTTACTTTGTAGCGCTAAGTCAATTTTTTCCTTTTGGGGGTTTATGTGCAATAAACAAAATTCAGGGGGATCATGTGCAAAAACCCCAAAGTTCAGAAGGGTTAGCTAAATTTTAATGAATAAATGAGGACGGATGAGGACGCCAGATTTCTTAGAATCATGACGAGACTGAAAGCATATGGTTCTAGAGTATTCTCCGTGAATTGTTGGGGTTGCGCTCAAGGAATGAACCCGAACCCACCAATTAGTTGCCTGATATTTCTTAGGCAATTTGCTACTCGTGGAAATTAACTCCAAGTGGCACTCAGTTCTGCATTTGCATCCCAGAGGTTACCCAGGATGCCACTTGTTCGAGTACTATTCCTACAAGAGTATGCTAACTATGGAGTTATCTGCATATTCCTCCTAGAATGCTAATAAAGTTGATTACTCGAGTAACCAAATTTTTAACAACTTATACACATGGGATGTCGCAGACCCAATATGTGTCAGAAACTACAATTTGTGTAGAGGAAAGGTTGATGGTTCAATGGGTATTATATCAACTCTAATGCAAATCTTCATTATGCCTGCTTCAAATAATTTAAAATCTCAAAGTTTAGCTCCTAACACTAAGATAATAAAATATTTTAATTTTTTAAATGATTGATAAGAAACAAACAGATGAAAGGGTAAAATAAGTTGGTCAAGTGGGTAATAGGTCTGATTCAGTCATGGGCATGGGTTAAGCAGCAATGACCAAGCAGCACAACTTTACTATGAACATCAGATACACTTCAAGCACCGACATTTGGGAAATTTTGTTTGGCTGTTTACAGTAAAGCAGATAAATAAAGTTCTCCGTTTCTTCAACCAAACATGATTTTATTTTTTCCAGTTTTTCCAAAATAACAGACAGATTGTTGTTCTTTATTCTCAAAGTGAAACTTTAACAATGACGAAAAATTACGCATTCTCTGCTTTAAGAGCTGTCTGCAACACGTGCTATGTTCTCTGGGGGTTTAGAAGCAAATGTGGAAGCGAAATCCTTGAGGCGGGATACTTAAGACTTAAGAGGGCACTTTACCTATAAAGTATCTTGGGGTTCCAATGGTCAGCAAGAGGCTTCCAAAACTTGCGTCACGCTCTGATTGCTGAGATTACTCAGAATACATGGTTGGCATGCAAAAAATGTCATATGCAGGGAGTGTCTTTGATCAAAAGTGTGTTACATGAAGTTCATTTGTACTTGTCTGCACATTATGTTTTGCCAGAAACTATACTCAGGGCATGTTTGGTAACTAGTCAAACCACTGCAATATGTTTGACAACCGGCTTATTTCGGCTAATAAGCCCAAAAAAATACGCTACCCTAACTCAGCTTATTTTTTGGTGGCATATAAGTCATATAGTTTAACCAAGTAAATGTTAAGTTTACCCCTCAACATTTAAGATAATTTCAATGTCTATCCAATGTTTAAATCTAGAGTCGTGTCCTTTTTGGTCATTTTGACAACAATGATGGAGTATAATCCACTCATTTGCCAAACACTCTCTAAAGCAATAGCAAGTGGATAAATTTTGTAGAAGCTATTTATGGGGTGATTATTATGATTCCAAGAGGATTATAGGAATCTGTTCGTATCATGGGGTTATCCGTGTCAGCACATCAAACATGAAGGCTTGGTATATCTTTTGTCGTTATTTGGGACAAGTTGCTGCTTAGAAGATTTTGTGAACCATTCATGAGAAGGACTTCCTATGGATCAAATGGATCCATGACATGTACTTAAAAAAGGAAAGATGTGTGGAGAGTTCAAGCTAGGCCAACTGATTCTTGGATGTTGAGGCAGTTGCTAAATGTTAGGGACAAGTCTCTGGCCTCATGCGGATCTGCTGCAACTATTACAATGAAGTTCCATAATTATGTAATCAATGGTAATTTTAAATTTTCAAAAAGCACGCCATGATCTATTAACGCAATGCAATTTTGTCACGTGGCACAAATCTGAGTGGGAGTCCTTCACTATAGCTAAACATGGTTTTATTTTGTGGGCAGCCATTCAAAATAGACTCCTCACTCGAGATAGATTGTGTATGATAGGAGTTATGCATTCTAACTCTTGTGCACATTGTACACAAAGTTTAGAGTCGTCAGCATATTTTTTCCTTTAACTATACTTACTCTGTTAAGGTTTGGAACTCCGTTATGGAATGGTTGGGGTTCAAGAGAAAATATTGTGATTTGGGGTCAGGTGTTACACTGGTTTACTTGTAAGAAGTCTTATGAAAAAAGGTTAAAAGGATGGCCTTTTCTTCGATTGTTTATTACCTCAGGATTGAGAGGAATAGAAGGTTGTATAGGAGGACGCAAAGCTCTGCCACTATGGAAATCAAAATTATAAAAACTGCAGTACACAATCATTACCATAATTCTGTGCCTGAGAGGCATCAAGAATGGATTGTATCTATGTTATATTTTCAAAAGATAATGAAAACTTATTTCATTTACCAAAAAAATATAAAAAATACTTATGCATTCAGATAAGTATCACAGTGACGGTAATGAAAATAAATAACAGATACTACTGACAACTTTGATGGGCATACTGGACAATTGTCAATACCTTTTGAACAACGCCCACTGCCGCCTGTAATGGTGTTAGGTATTCATAAGGAAGCTGATAAGAAAATGCGAAAACAAGTCATATCAGCAAAATAAAGAAAGCACAACTGCTGAATTCTTATAATCCCATGAAAAGTGATGAATTACCTTTCCTGTAAGCAGTTCCCATAACACTATAGCGAAACTAAAAACATCAGCCTTGTGATCATAAGGCTTGTGTTCAATGACCTATAATATGATGTATACGGGTTAAGAGTTTTTTTCTGAGTGCAAGAATTATCTTAATGCAATATGTTATAGAGGGATAATCACTTCATGAAGGAAAATGAACAAAAGCTTTTTATTAGTATTAGAAAATTGTAAAACAAGGACATGAAATCTTGGAGCTAAAACAGAGCAAAATACACAAGCAAGAAGCAGTAATTACATGAAAAACAATAACTTCTGAATATAGCAAATGTGGTGTCAGAGTTACTTCTTGAAATGCCAGAAACTATTGGGTTGTTGACTCACAAAACAAAATGCTCAAGGAAAATTATATCAATCCACACTTAAAACATTCTTCCAATCATTATACAATATCAGCTAGCAAGAATCAATTAGGAGGTTGTATGATGACAGACAAGTAACACTTCTGGTACTCCGTACGCCTTATCTCCAGCTGAGAGAGGGTAAAAATATTTATTTAATAATTAAAGGAGTCACATAACAGCCAATGAGGCTTAACAACATAATTCACACGCATCTTCATACCAACTACCAAGCAAATCACCGGCGAGGTCAGAAAGCATATGCAAGAAACTAAGGCAAGATCATAGGAATCTAGTTTCACTGACATCAGTCAAATTAACATCTTTATTTAAATTTCCAGTTACAATAGCTGAGTAAACTACTGATCTTTATTTCAACTTTATTAACAAGTTTACACAAGTCATTACGCTTTTAAGTTTTCTATTCATAGATAACTCAACTGAGTGGCGGTCATATTTAAGACAAGGGTTATTTAAACTCTAGTCCCTCAATTCTTCAATAATTCCATATAGTCCGTCAAATCTATGAAATTGCTAATAGGTACATCAAATCCTAAGGGTTCTTGCAAACTGGTCCCTCAAGCAATCTGACATTACATCTGAGGGGAATATTCCCTCAAATCTAGCATTTTGAGAGGATCTTCCAGTTATACCCCCAATTAAGTTTAAGCAACCTGTTTCATTACGGGTTTAAACCCAAAACCTGCTAACTTAAAAACCCAAACCTACAAACATCATCCTCTCCCATGGTGAAAAATCCTACTTAACCCATTTCTGAGCTTCCCACTGGTCATTTCTGGGCTTCCCCAGTGTTTGAGGAGTACTTGGGTAATTGAGGGTGTTGGATTAAGAGTTAAACCAACAAGTGGTTTCAAGATCTAACTGAAAAACTAACAGAGGGACAAATTTGCAAGACCCATTGAGATTTGAGGGATGTATGAGCTATTTCAAAGACTAGGGGAAATTAAATAACCCATAAGAAACTAAAAGTAATGACAAAAATATGATGAAGTACAAACAACAAAATATACATACACAAACCCTACAAAATAAGTTGAGAACACCAAAACTCATCGATAATACATATAATTTTCATGAAACATTTGTTTATAGTTGTCCTATAGAACTTTAAAGCCATGTAAAATATATTACAACGTACAAAGGTTAAACTGCTACAGATTAACTCCAGTCATATCAAGCGTGGTTCATATCATATCTTGTGCAAAGGTTAATGGTACAGATCATGTTTTGTAACATAACGTCATTTATCATGCACCCAAAACAAAGAATCTGCCAAAAAATGTATAAGCTAACTTAAAGTTCATAGTACAGCCAGCAATGTTGCACAAAATATTATCTGTCACAAATATTAGCTTACTCACAAGGATCTATCACATGTATCATTCAAGCAAAAATTATATATACGCACATATAAACAAATGGTAGTACCTCCGGAGCCATCCAACGGTATGTTCCTGTTTCTGCAGTCATCACTCCAGTTTGAGCTTTAACACGTGCAACACCAAAATCCGCAACTTTGACAACCTGTAGTAGTGTATGGGAACACCAAAATAAACATACAAACGAGAATGAAAAAGTGGTACACACGCGTGCATCCACACAGACACAGACATGCACACATACTGAGCGTCCGCACAGACGCGCACAATCATGCATACATAAACATATGCATATATACATATATTAATGTGCTCATATACTTGGTTCCTCTGGTCACATAATTACTCCTCTCTGATGATAGGGTATTTAACTTGTATGGCCAGTTCATCAATCTTAAAATAGGCATGCTGAATTTTCAATGTGATTAAGATCACAATCAGTGGTTTTGGAATCTCAACTATACCCCACAGATTGAATCTAATCAACTTGCTATCAGAGGCTACACAAACTTCATCTTGTATTAGGATGCCATCACAAGCTACTAAGAGAAGCCTATGGCATAATACTCCCTCCATTGCAAGGTCTAAGGTCTAATACACGTAGCCCTACATTGCATCGGAGAGAGTGTTTCTACAGCTACATCCTGGCATATGATCCATGAATTATCTCAATCATATTCTATCAGAAGCCTGACAAATAACGAAGTTATATCGGCACAAGCATATAAATTAATGTGGAGAGCCTGACGTACACTAGGTTCTGCACCATGAAGTTGACTAACTATTATTGAAAATAACATAGCGTATAATGTAACACGTTCAGCTTCTAGATAGCTTTAAGCTCATATATCATAACGTAGATCACACTTTTTTATGATTTTTACATAGATATAAAAGTATCCATTATAACTTTAACAACTAGGACATAATTTCAAAATATAGAAATAAAATTTAATAAAATCTCCAAATTTTATTAGAAGATATACTAATTTAATAATAAATAACTTGATTAAAATGTTCAAATATATTATCACTAATTTGCAAATCTGCCATTTTTGGTCATCAGATCCCATGTAAAAACCATTGTCAAGTAGAATTCCAACTGAAAACTTGCCTCATTTTCATCCATCAGAAGATTGGCAGCCTTCAGGTCTCTATGGATAATATTGTTTTGGTGCAAGTAGTTCATACCCTTGGAAACGTCAGTTGCTACTCTGAGCAATGCTGGAAGCTTGAAAACACCTTTCTGTTTATGAAGAAAGTCGTATACACTTCCACCCGACATGAATTCTGGCATAAGTAACCATCACAATCGATCTTCAATCTTACATCAAATACAAATGCAATTGCACACTTCTATTTGCACAAAAACAAAATCGTTACAAGCAATAGGAAACTAACATTGAAATTCATATACCTGTCACGATACATAGGCTAGGAGGGCGGGTGCATGCACCAATAAACTGTACAACATTCCTGTGACGAACCTTTCTGCGAAAGAAGAGAAAACAGACATGTAGAATGTGCTCAGAAAAAAAAACTCAAAGATAAAGAGTGTAACCTATGATTTTTAAGTTAAAGATGGTTTTAGCGATATTGTACTGAGAAATAAAAATACAGAACTAGCAAAAGAAAACTGTACGTGAATGGTCTTTATTCCATTGGCATCTGGCAGTACACTAGTACAGTTTGTACAAACTAGTACGGTTAGGTTTCCACGAATTAAACAAGTTAAATGAGAGAATCTTTATTCGTTTAAACTGTACTACCATAATACAAAAACTACGGGAAACTGCTAATGGTACCAACAAGGCAACAAACAAATTCCTTCTCCATAATTCTATAATGGAAATATTCCCGTAGACTCAACTTCAACTTGCATTGAAGAACTTGAATGCAAATCCCATGTATTATCTTTTCATAATTGGCATCCACTCAGTGTCGCACATAACTCATAGAAAACAGTATAAATTACACCCAATATTCCCTAAATGGAGGAACGCAGCACAACCCAGACATTTGCAACCAATAAAGGAGCATGATGAAGCGCACAAGTGCAAAAATTGAGCAGAATCCTACATGGTTCAGACAGTTAAATGTTGGAAAATTGCATTGAATACGCTTTCAAATGCCATCTAAAGGGCAAGTTTGCTCATTTTTCATGTATGAACTCGGATGGAACTTAAAGAACAATAATTAAAAACCTAGATACATTCTCTAGTTTACAACCCAATGTTTCAGTAATAAAAAAGTGATAAAAAAACAAAATAATATCTCGAAGTCCATCAAGTTCATCGACGGTAAAAAAAGAAAAATAAAATGCCTGATCCTTGCCCATGTTCATGATCAAAAGATAAATACATCATAACCAATTATACAAAAATAACTTCTTCCTTCAACAGGAGTAAAGCATGTGGAGGGTAGGAATCAAACAAAATAAGATATTGATTAAAGATCACGCCAAATGCACAACTGTCTTGTCACATCTCCATTATGTGGAAAAAGGGCTTGAAAAGGCAACACGGAACACTAGTGGGATCAATCAGAGGGAAGAGAAGATGAGAACGAGTCAATTCGAGGAAAAGGGACGTGGGATAAGCCATGAGATTTTCATTTTGATACTTATGACCACATTTACCCCTATTAACTTAATAAAACTTCCCAATTAATTTAATTAATTACTTTTCAGTACTCCAATAACTTTTAATGCGGCGTGCTCAACTGATCATACCATGGAAAAACTTAAACCCGCTTGCACATCTATAAAGTTATTAACCAGACAGTTTCAAATTCAAATCAAGGGAAAATGAACTAGCTGTATAAATAGTCCTACTAGCAGTCTAGGTAGTGTTGTTGCTGATTATTCAAAGTTTCAAACCAGGAAAAACTTCAAATCCTAATTTCTTTTTAATTATAATCATACAAAAGAAAGTTAGCTGATTCAGTTAAGAAAGTTGAGGGTCCCTCTCAAAATAGGAACATTCTTATGCATATATTATGATCTGAGAAAAAGTTGTACATAAAATAGAAGGTAGAAACTTAGCAATATCTCCCCCTGCTCTCATGGTTTCATAAACGTCATCAGTTTCTCTTTTATATTCTCACCAGAAAGTGTGATAACATAATGAATTAGTCCCAACTCTCGTGCAGAGAAAGAAGGGAAAAGAAAGAGCACTTACTGTTTAATAGGATATTCATATGTGAACTATTAAATTATATCAAAGGAACATAGGAAACATTCCAGTGCAGTCAGGTTTCACAGATTTCTGTACAAGCCAAGGACCTGTGTATGGGTATCTCATCATGCGTCTCAAGCCCATGGATTTCGGAAACCAGACACACAGGTTAGACCAGAAAGGGTATACATGTTAAACTCACGCCAAAGTACTTTTATCTGCTTCCTATTTGCATTAGAATCCGGCAAATATAACAATTACAGATAACAGTACTATGTATGTATTCGTAATATTTGAGGATGTTGTGAGATTATATTGCAAATTTAGACATACAACCGACTGAAAAAACATATAACTGGTAATGGGATTGGATATAAATGATAAACAGGAATACTCATAACAACCTTACACTATGTGGGTACATGCATGAAACACCTATACTATGATTTCTTTCATGCTGTAATCTGGACCCTAAGCATGATCTTTTCCATCAAATTTTTTTCCAAATTCTTTATTTTGCTTCAATTATTCTAAAACCGAGAACAGAAGAATATAAAGGAATTGGGTTATATAAAAGAATCTGTAGTTACTTAAAGATATCATGTTATTACCAGGCACCCCTAGCCCTAAATTAGATGGAAAAAGTCCAAGCTTCCAAGTTCCAGGAATGCAACATCTAAAAATCATGATATGGGGGTAGGAGCGTTATGCACGTACCCTCAAAGCACAGAAATATCATGAGTAATTTACCTTTGATGAATGCAAGATCTAAAAATCATGATATGGGGGTAGGAGCGTTATGCACGTACCCTCAAAGCACAGGAGTATCATGAGTAATTTACCTTCGATGAACACACTGACAAATGCAAGTATCTCTAGACAAACCTCATAATATAAACTTCCTGGGCAAACTCTCGCTGCATATCCACATTTACACGCTCAGGCTTGAGTACTTTAATTGCTACCTCCTGACTGCAGTATGTTCCTCGGTAACTGGAAAGAAACAATAAATAGTATAAAAAATCCAAATGTATTATTCAAGTAATTAACTGGAAGTCAAAGAGAATCTTATGAGATTGAACTTCGATATCGTACAGGTCACCATATGAACCAGAAGCAACTTTACTTTCAAACTTCAATAGCCGGAAATCAATCTCCCAGACATCAGTGCCATCAGTAGGTATCTGGACATGGTGGGGTAAAGGTTCCTGAACAACTTCTATGTTTTCCAGTTTAGGAGACCATGGAAGAGGCTTCAACCATGCTTGCTTCTGCATAGAACTTGAGATGTGATTCGCAGCATTATGCAATTCAAATGTTAGAAAAAATCCAACCAAGAAATTTTTTCAAATAGTAAATATAGTATGTTGGTAGCAATGCATAGCAGAAGTTGTCCATAATCACAAAAAAAAGAACTCATATCACAGAAGATTAAATTAAAACAAGGAATTGACTTTTTATTATAGATGAGGATTAGTTCAGATTTTTCTGCAAATATACCTGTCATTACCATAAACAATGAAAAAGGCTTTAACACGACACCAATGAAAAAAGGTTATGATGAACTTATTTTGCAATATAGTTTGTTAACAGGCCTAGATTGAGCCTGTCCGTTTCATAATGTGCCACTAGTTCTCAATGCACAGATTCTTTAGCTGTAGTCAGACCAAAATTTAACTTATGTAACTATGTCAAGGTGTTGCGGTTCTACGTAGGCCACAAATTTGTCAAAGAGGTTATGGAAATAGGCGTTGTATGTTAAACTTTTCTACTAAATAATATCCTGTACAAGTTATACAGTTTTGAATCTTACAGATAGTAAAAAAGAAAAGGATATTCCTCTGATAGAAAGGAAAGTATCTGAAGTTCTATTTGCATATTATTATACATACATAAACTAAAGACTATAAGAATACCAAAGCACAAAACAGGGTTGGGTAGAAAGAACATGAAATTCGAGTGCAAGTACGGATGGGGAACAGAACATATTGCTCGGAACTTGGCCCAGACTGGCACGCATTTGGCTTGTTTTTGACCCGGCCTTGTTTGACCCAGGCTAGTGTTTGGCCCAAAAAAAACGCGTAATTGAGTGCTAGAACCCGGCACAAATAACTGGACAAGAAGTAGAATAAGGGACCAGATTTCTGAGTTGGGGAAGGATTTTTGAGGGCGGGTTATGGGCAAAAAGTTACAAGACAAATTATTGGGCCCGAGTTCACTCCAACAGGCAAGTTGCAGACAAGGCCACAAAAAATAGGAGGGAGGAAACATGTGCTTCACGTGGCCACGTGGTATTAGTAGGGGTGACCCCCAGCTGTTAAATTTGCAATCATGGCACCGTTGAAGGATAGGGGGCATTTTTGCAAATTCTACAATGTCTTTAGTGGCCTCCAAGAGTGCTTTTTCTACTGATGCCAGGGTATTGAGCACTTCAAACAATAAGAGCTTGAAGAGTTTGATGCTACCAGAAGACTGGTACAAAGTGCAAGAATGAACCTAAGTCAAACCTCAGACATTTCAAACAATGGCATATTTGATGAAGATTCTCCTAATGATACTGATACATCACGTCCATCCCATAGTTACATTCTTTAAGATTGCACAATTTTCTATTTTTTTAAATTTGTAACTATTCCAACAATTTTAAATTACACTCCAATCGAATTGCTCTTTCTATCATCTTCAACTTTCAAAAAAGAACAGTGGCTAGGCTTTTAGATCCTCCAGACATTCTGGGTCAACCCCAAGCCCAGAGCACCAGGGCTCTGGGCCAGCTCCTTCACCGAACAGCCCGATCAGGATCGACCCAGAAAGACCCGGAGTCCCGGACCCAGTGGGTCCAGACCCAAGCCGGATCTGTATCTGGCCTGTTGGCCACCCCTAAGTAACTCCCAGTGGGTCCAGACCCAAGCTGGATCTGTATGTGGCCTGTTGGCCACCCCTAAGTACTCTCGTGTTCTGCACTTTAAACTTCTTTTGAGAAGTGATGATGTCTTGAGAATCCAGGGGATAATCATACATTGAGGCAGTGAATAATACAACCTCCTAAAATACATGTATCTGTTAATGAACTGTCTAAATCTAAAGTTAAATGGCAACCTCCAGCATTTTGCTCATTTCTTCTACTTCTAAGAAATAGGTATATTTGTAGATGGAACATGAGAAATCTAAGAATATCCGCAAGGTAACCATAAAAATTAAGTTGTTAGTGAATTCTCAAAACTCAGGATTCAGCACATGAATTCCAGTATTGCCTTCCCTCCACAAAGGAGGAACACCATAACTTCGAAGTTCATACTTCCAAAAAGAAATTGAAGATATCATATGTAATAAAATGTAATAAACCTGATACCATAGACATAAAGCGCATCAGTACTACCCAGGGATATATTTGCTTAATGGGAACTTGCAACTGCAACTGTAGTAACAATCTGCAGAAGTCAACTGAAATGTACTTATTGTTTCACTATAACTGCAATCGTTTTACAACTAAGCTACAAAACTGCCTTAACTTTTTCCCTTCAATAAAGCAAATTCCAGTGAATTAGATTACAAGCTATATTTTGCATAAGGTGATCTTTTTAGGATGCAAAAAGCTGCAGCGAAAAAACCAAAAATACAGCAACAATTGCTACTTAGAAAATGGCAGCTGCAGGATGATTATTAAGTTTTGCATATCACAAGTGTTATGCCCATGCTCGCACGGGTATGCCTGGTTTCTTTAGTTTGTATATCATATTTCTTTATTCTCTCTGAGTTTCTTTTTCAGTTATGCCTGTTCTTTCAAATTCAATTGTATCGATTTCCTAGTTCTTTTGTTTTCATCTTTGCTATCACTCCACTCTTTTTTATATAAATATGAGCAGTCAAATGGCTTTGTTTTTGATAAATGATGTAAATTTCCATTACCATTAAGCATTGGATTTGGATCCTCTCCGCATTGGATTTGGATCCTCTCCAGAACCAAAGTAGTAGTGGAGAAACACTATATTAATCATAACCGTTCATTTATATAGTGGATAATCATGATTCATTCCATATCTAACACTCACCATACCCCCATGAATTGTATTATTTTCTAAGTTACACTCAAAAGCAAATCACAACCACCTACTACATAAATCAATGGTTGTGATATAATAATGGTCCCTCCACTACTTTTTGGTAGTGATGGTAGTGAAGAGGATCCGAATCCATAAGCATTAATATGTACAAACAAACTCCTAGGCATCCCAGGATTACAAACAGACAACAGTCAAATGACTTAAAACAATGCCTTATAATATAAAATCAACATGATATAACCCTTTAAGTACCTCATACTATTCTAAACATAAAATGTGAGATGAAAGGTCGCTTGAATTTAAAATTAAATATTAGATAACCTGAGCTGAAGGTTTTTACTTAGAAAGGAAATAAAAAATAATGGCGTGGATGGAGCTTTTTTTTCTTGAATATTTGAAATCCAAAATTAGATGACTTAACCACCAATCCCTCCATTATAATATCCCTCTTTCGGTAATATTCTAAAATTAGAAAAGAAAAAAATAAGAAAATCTATGCCCCTGCTCGCATACTAATCTATTTTTCAATAGATATAAGACATTCGCGTGTAACCACCAATCTAGCCTCTATAAAAATAAAAATAGGTAACTAAACCCGCAATAAGTTTCAGTGTTTGATACTAAACCTCCAATATCTTTTGAAACTCTCACTAAAGCCCAATAATGTTTAGTAGAAAACACCAAAAATTAACATCGTTTATGTATTGTAAAATGACAAAAATCTTCCCTAATAAATTTCGGTAATAAAACCTCGATAGGTTTAAACTTTTGTCACTTAACCCGCAATAGCTTTTGTTAGAAAACCCCCAACAAGGGTTGTTTATGATTTTCATATTTCTAAGGGGTTTCTTTGTAATTTTAAGATTTCGAAGGGATCGCTCATAGTTTTTAATAATTCAAGGGGCTCTTTGTAATTTTTAAAAACTTTACGAGTTGTTTATAATTTTTAAAATTTTAGGGTCTGTTTACAGTTTTTCCTTTTCTCCAGGGAGTTTTTGCAATTTTAGATTTTGTTCAGGGAACCTTTTAGGTCTTCTTTGCAATTTTGTATATTTGGGGGTTCCGTTTGTAATTTCTGATTATTCAAGGGTTTTTTTGTAGTTTCAGGAATTTCAAAGGGGTTATTTGTAACTTTTTAATTTTTTTAGAGGGTTGTTTGTTATTTCAAATTATGAAGAAGTTATTTGAAATTTTCATATTTTCAAGGACTGTTAGTTTTATGGATTAATTTGTAAATAAGAATGATTTGAGGGGTATATATTAGCCTTGAGGGAAGTCAATGTAAGATTGTGAGGTAACACTATTATTCGAGTTAAGTGCAAAAATTCAAAACGTTATGAGGATTTTCTAAAATATCTAAACTTAATAAGGGCTAAGAGAAAGTTTTAAATTTTGAGGGGTTTAGTGCTACATGCCCAAATTTATTTGAGCATTGGTGAAATATACCTTTTAAAAATTTAAGGGGGGCACGTGGCGAAATTTTGAGATGCGAGGCAAATAAAAAACAGAAAAGAAAATAAAAAAATGTGTGGGAGAATCCTAATCATAACTATATCCATAATAATAATAATAACCTAATATTGATATTTAACTATTTTTTATGATTAATAGATTTCTAATTTTAAAAGAATTTTCTAATTATCCATAATTTTCTTTTATGATAAGAAATAAAAGGAAAAGAAAATTATGGGTAATTTTAGTTCTCTTTTATGATATTTAGATTTTAAGATTTAAAATAAATAAAAATAAAAAAGAATTAAAAATATAATTATTAGCTTTTTTTAGTTATGAATAATTATAATTTGATTGAGATTACCAAATATTTTATTATTATAATTTTCTAATTATGAATAAATTTAAATTTGACGAGGATTCTTAGGTGGAGATAGAATTAGATGTACACATGTTAATTATGGATAATTTTAATTTGATGAGAATTCTTTGAAAAGGATAGAATAACTGTGTACACATGTCATCTTACAATATGATAAATAGACACATTGCTATTTTATAATATGACACATGGTGGGTTTTTTGCCTTTGAAAGTACACATGTGAATATTTTGTGCCTTTAAGAGTACCACTGATTTCTCATTATATATACAAGTATTAATCCCATGCTCACATAGATTGTTTTGATTTCTTTAGTTCTTATATAATGGTTTACACGCCCTTCGAATACGTTAAGCTACCCCAGCGTAACAAAA